AAAGCACTAATCTTAGTTGCTATTTTAAAGCTATTATACTTATTAAATAATTGTTTGAAATAATAAAATCAGAGTAAGAATCTTAACAGAATAATTCTTACGCTCAAGTTGTTTACAGATTCAGTATTTTCCCATTCTGATAACCTAAATATTGCAAGATGAATTCTAACTCTTGAGCAGTGTTCACAGTACTTTCTTCAGTATTTTGCTTACATCAAGCCAATGCATTCATATGTTTCTAGCTCCACTGTTTGTAAAATAAAAACAGAGATTCCTACTGTACCATTAATTCCTAATCTGACACTGAAACAGTGATTTCATTGTCATGGGTGATGGGATTGAGAACTTCTGTGTAACTCCACTCCCCTAACAGGTACAGTAATAAGCTGCTGGTTAGTTCTTTAGGCAAAAGACATGAATCTGTTGGATAAAGGCTTCATTCTCTGCCCGTAATCAGTAACTTGAGGGCCTTCTGTAGATTCTGCACAGCAGTGCTCACATCTTCATATTGCAAAGCACTGCCAGCATATTTGCAATATTTTTGAGCTCTGGCAAAGTCCTCTGGAGTCAAACGGACTTCCCCTGCAAAAACATAAGTATTACAAAGTTACTATAAAGGAAATCTGACTGAGGCTTCCTTTCACATGATTTCTGTGTTTTACTTCTATTTGCAGCAATATTATCAAAACCAGGCTTATATTTCTCGTAATATTACAAAGACCAAGCTACTGTGTTTCTTCTATCCGCTTTTCTTTCCATTCATATAATTCTTATCTTCTTTGCTGCTGGCATTTGAAAAATATAAGAGGACTTTTCTAAACACTGGTATTTGCATGACCCAGTGGCTTTCAAAAGTAAGTCAATACCTTTGAGAAAGATCTGCTCTTCATCTAAGGCAGCAAAGGAGAGCTTTTTAACGACAATAAGTTAGCTGTAATCATATTACAACCTGAAAGAAACAAGGACACTTTTTTTTTTGTGTTTACAGTATAATTACTTTGCTCTCCTCATCAGGAATAACACATAGTTAGAAACTGTTCCTCCTCAACTGGACTAACTTTTCAAAATGTAGAAGCATTTCTCACTGGCATGTTTTTGCACATTTTATATTTCTGTTTTATCCAAGCAATGTTTATGTTTCCAATTTTATGTAAGATGACTGAAAACAAGACTGATTGCATTAAATGCGCCCATTTTTGTAATACTGTAGAACAGTAGCGAAAAATATTCTCATAATATAGTACAAAACAATTAACTGTTACTTATTAATCAGAATATTTTCTTGACATCCTTGGGAATTCTGTAATGGTCAAACACATGCGTTGCAGTCTTCCAGAAAGTATAGTAGGGACTTATGCCCTAACTGGCAGAAGATTTAATATGTGAATAGCATCACTGATGTGTGCATAAAATAGAGCACACTGTCCCTCGTTCCACCCACAAATTCACTGGGAGTTTTAAGGCTAATCCTATGCCACTCCAGTAACATATAGATAAATGTTAATGATAACCTTTACCCATGTTCTTTCAGAACAACTTAACTTGTAAAAGACTGATTCTTATGGACATGGATAAATAATTATATGCAATACTAAGATTTATGTATTTATTTAATAGGTTCCTCACACAGCATTTTACAAGCAATGAACAGATTTCACAGATTAAGAAAAAATGCATTTTAAAATGCACCATCGTTTTTATATAAAAATTGGTTAAACAAAGATTTAGCTCTCAAAGTACAGCTTTCTCATTTTAAGCAAGGACATGAATATACTTAAATCAATTTTTTATGAGTCAACTGCAGTTAGCTGGATCTCTTTCTTTCAAAATAAAACTGTTGTTGGCAATACAGTGAGAATGTTTACTAAAGAATCTCAGTTCTTATCAGAAAATTTCTATTATATTTGCTTTTCCTTTCCCCAATCTTATTATTTAAGAACAGCTTTTGAACAAATAAAACGGAAAACCCGGGAATATTAAAAACTAGACTGTTCTGCTGGCTTTCAAAACAACCCTACCCCAATAAAAAACAGAAAGGTAGTGCTGTTAAGACTAATTTTATCAATTTTTAAGATGTACTCTAGAAGTCTACTTATTTTCCTTTCAATAAATAAATAAATATAACCACAAAATAACTGTTGAATATTGATGCACATGACAACTTGGTGGGCTCATTATCATTGCAATGTATATTAGTTTACTGCCAAATAAGTGAAGCCACATTAAATCTCTTAAAACACATACACATGTGAGTAAATACAGGTGAGGGAGTGCATAAACACAGGCAAACACTTAGGTTATTTTGTAACCTAAATAAAGTCACAGACTAAAAGCAGCTGGGGTCAATCTCCGACCACATTACTGAACATCTTTAAGAAATTAAAAAGACCAAGTTCCCCTCAAAGTGGCTTTATGCTACGATGCCAAAAGAAACTACAAAATCATTCTTTAAAAACTGGCCAAGGCATCAGTCCAGTATTCAACTAATTTATTGGAAGGAAGCCTAAATTCAGCAGTCTAATCTTATTTTTACAGTATGAGCTCTATTAATGTTTTGCTGGCATAAAGCCTTATTTATTATGAAATCTACTTCAGATGCTATTATGACATAACTTGAGGGAAAAAAGTTAACAATTTTAAATTTATAAACCAAAGTTTACACAGTAAGGGTGTTGATCTTTTGATGTGCTCAGTGGCCTCAGCTCCTATTGAAGTCAGCACCTCACAATGGACAAGCAGAATAGAAATAAAACAGCTCTGTGTTCTTAAGTTTTCAAAATAACATGAAACTTAACCATAATGTCCGTACTTACATCAAAGGTATAACCACAAAAGTTATAACTGACTTCAATTTACATATTCTAAGGGTTAAGCAGCTTTGAGGAAAAGGAAAGCAGCTTTGCAGGAAAGGACCTGGGGGTCCTGGTGGACACCAAATTGTCCACGAGCCAACAAAGTGCCCTTGCGGCAAAGGTGGCTAACGGCAGCCTGGGCTGCATTAGGAGTGCTGTCAGCAGGGCAAGGGAGGTGATCCTGCCCCTTATTCAGCACTGGTGAAGCCACACCTGGAGTCCTGTGGTCAATTCTGGGTTCCTCAGTACAAGAGAGAGACTGACGTCCTGGCGAGAGTCCAGTGAAGGGCCACAAAGGCGATGAAGGGACTGGAGCACCTCTCATATGAGGAGAGGCTGAGAGCCAGGACTGCTCAGCCTGGAGAAGAGCAGGCTCAGGGGGGATCTCATCCATCTCGATAAATACCAAAGGGAGGGTGCATCAAGGACAGAGCCAGGCTCTTTGCAGTAGTGCTTGGTGGCAGGACTAGAGGCAACAGGCACAAACTGAAACACAGGAGGGTTGTGTCTGAACATCAGGAAACACTTTTTACTGTGAGGGTGATTGAGCACTGGCACAGGTTGCCCAGGGAGGCTGTGAAATCTCCATCCTTGGAGAGATTTAAAAACTGTCTTTTGAACTAACAGTGACCTTTTTTTCCTCAAACTTCTTCCTTCAGTGCTGCAAATTAAACCATGAGGAGGGTGCAGGGGCAAGAGGAGACACAAAAGACATGGTCCCGAGCAACCTGTTTTACAGGACCCTTGCTTGAGCAGAGGGGTTGGACCAGATGACCTCCAGAGGTCCCTGCCAACCTCAACCACCCTCTGATTCTGAGCTCTAAAAAAGCCCAGCAACATTGAGATGGGAAAAGTATACTGTATTTATCCTGAAACAAACCTGCTTCTGTGCTAATCTGAAATTATTAGCACAGCAGTTATATTACCGAAATGTGACAGACATATGGAATCAATAACAAGAGGCATGATTTCTTTAGTTTAAGAGGAACACAAAGTGAAAACCAAAAGGGGATTTGACTAGAGATGCTGAAAGTCATGCTGGCAAGAAAAGCAGTTTGAGAATGAAAATAACGTGTATTTCACATGATGGATCTGCCTCTTCCTGGTATCCTTTTCTATCCATCAGATGTTTTTCCTTTTTATGAAGTTGCCCAAATACAAGGCAGCTGATTTAAGAAAATTTTAATAATGCAACTTGGTGTATAAAAACAGTGACAGCAAAGGTTAACTGAAATGATTTTTGGAACCAGATGCTCTTTTTTTCCCATGAAAGCACTTAAGATATTCAAAATATAAATCCTCAAAGATTTCTTCTTAAGCTCATGAAAATGCGTAAAATGTCAAATTATTATTTCTACTTTATGAGTAGAAAATCAACCACTATTATACACACAACTAGAATGGACAAATGATTTCTCTATACTATGCCACCTGTGGAAGGAAGCATAGGTAACGTAAGAAGATTTTATAAAAACTCTGTGTAGCACAGCCATGAATGCATTTAGTGTTAGCAAAATCTAGGGGTAATAAATTTTTTTTAAGCAAACTACACCAGAGAAGTGCACGCACACATTATACAAAGTTGCTGTGTAGCTCTACATTCTGTTGTCAAAGACATTAACCAACACTTAATTGCATAAGCTTTGACACTTTCAAAAGTCAATGTTAAACTCTGAGACCTGTTCCCACAGGACAATTACTGAAGGATTCATACTGACTAAAATCAAAGGAATACTGTTACTTTAACTTAATTTTCTTTTGATAAAATATTCCACTCTTCTCCACCAAAAGTTTCTCTCCCATCACAGCATTAATCAAATTGCTTCTCCCATGTTATGGGAAGGAAAGAAAATATATAATTTATTTTAAAAATACACATTTGATCTTACTACCAGAAAGAGTCTTGCAGGAATATGTGGAATATCCTGTTTGGCTATGCCTATACTAGTACATTCAAGAGTGCCAGGGAACGCGTCTCAGCACTCAAACTTGACTGTCTACACTGTCAAACTGCTGGAACAGACTCCAGTATGGTTTTGGCCCATGCAAACCAGTACTTTCCCAAACAATTCCTCGGCATGACTTGTGGTCAGAGCAGGCTAGAGACCATTCAATATTGGCAGCCTTCACAAACTACCTTGTTTAGAAGGTTTAAAAGTTTAATAGTATGGATGTGAGTGGTTCTGTGCCAGCTGCTCTCAGTGTCAAATATTTACAGGCATGTTTAATTTATTAGTATAGACACAGACATCGTGTCTAAATCATGGAGCCAGTGTACTTTGCACTGTGCTAGCTCTGTGGATCTACTGGAGGGCAACGCTGATCCCTCCCTTCCCCTCCAAAGGAAACTTCAGTTCCACAGGAACGGTGCATACCAAAGTCTAACCTCAACGCGCAGCCAGGATCTAGCCCAAATACATATACTGCAACTCAGGGACTGGGGAGGGCTCCTGGGGCCCACAGTTTAGTACGTCCATTGTGAGATACAGGCATTTCTAAATCTACTTAAGGTCAGAGAACAAGGCTACTGTGGAACAGAGTACCGTTGGCATAAAAAGGACTCCTCAACAGCATGAGAAGAGTGATACCCGCCGTTACTCTTACACGTACAGCTGAAGGGAGGTTGCTGTGCGAAAAGACCAGGTATGCATGACAGGATGGTGACAGGCAAGGACAAACACTTTCCATCGCTCTCAAGTTTCTTAATTCTATGCATGCAAACAAAGCTGTTACTGCATCTCTGCTGACTGCCATATCCCTTATGCCCTCTCATACTCCGGCGTAACTGATGGTATATTTTCAGAACCGAGGATCTGTATGAGCTATATCACCTCTTCAGGGGCACTTTTGCAAAACTCTCTCATAAAAATGTAACACTTTAAGGTTTTACAAGACTGAAACTTGTGGCGATACAACAGATGTGCAGAGGAGGAATGCAGGCATGCAAATACTCAGGTTAGATCAAGTTAGAGATTTATCGCTGTGCTAGATAAGGGTCTTAATCTCTGTATTACATGACAGTAGTTATTCTGAATTCTCACAAACACAGGGTATCTTATTTCACTGAATACCTTTTTATTTATATTTATGTACTTATTAAATCAGGTTATCACAGGTAAGTGGCTAGAGGGAGCAATGCACTGATACCATTCAGATATCAAATAATGAAACTTTAATTCTTCATTAAGCATTAGAAGTTCAAGTCAAAATCATGCCATTTTTGACAACTAGAATTAAACATTCAAACCAAAAAACAATGACAATTAAAATTTTCAGAGTAGTCATCAAAAAAATTATTAGAATGGCTGTCTAGAGGATCATAATAAGCTGGTTAAATATGAAAGCTTTGCTGCCAAACACCACAAAATTGGCTTTCCAACTAGCAGTTACTACAGTAAAGCTTAAGTAAAGCCTTCAGTCATTTTGGTTAAGGAGCTATTGAAACCCCTACAACAGCCCCCAAAATTCAAAACAGTCACCAAGTTTAAATGGTTCAGCTACAGGTCTGAGGTATTGTTTTCAATAAAATGAGTTAACTGTTACACGAGACATTACAGTAATATGTCAGAAAAACAATAGTATGTGACTTTTGTTCTTCAAGAGAATTCTAAAGGTTAATGTGTCTGTATCAAAGGTAAATTTTGTTATTCCTAGCTGTTTAAGCATCTTCTACAAAAATGGCTTCCTAATATATTAAGATGGACACATCCTTAAGCAGTCTTACGACAGCAGACTAAAACCAAGCTAAACACTGAATTCCTATTACAGCATCCCATTCAATCAAAACTCCTTTTTCAGTAAAGCTGGTATTTTAACACAGACACCCTCTTCAACAACATAATAAACGAACATATCTAACTAAATATTTTTAAGTTACAATATACAAGAATATACCTATCTAAACTCACTAGCCATAACAGGCAACATCTGATTGTATTTAGTACTGGAACTTAAAAACATCAGTTATGTATACTATAACATCAATTACATATACTATCAGCTTTCCCTGGTGAGGATAAACTGCAGGGTAGGATGTGAACATATTTCACACCAGGACTTCTATATCTCCTCCTCACTAAACATCCACGTTATATTGCCAACAAAAATCTGATTATTACAAACAGATATAATGTATCTTTTTACTATCTCTATTTCACGGACAGAAAAATTCCTAGAGAACAGTTAATTTGTCCAAATGTACATCAGTGTTCAAACTAGAATCTGGGATGATTCCAGCTTTCTTGTCAGTCACCACTCTTTCACAGGCCATGGTTTCCCTAAGGTTAGCATTTATATCTGGACTTCAAAGCATGATACATGCAAGCAGACATAAAATACATGTAATATAGGTTATCAGTGGTTTTAACATCAAAGATAGATGGCATTTTAAAAGATAAAAGCCTTGATTAAATGGTACATCAAAATGACATCATTAGCAGTACCTTATGAATTATTTAATTTAATATAGGTACTACTTATAATCAACAAGCACACCTAACAATTATGCCGCAACAAAAACCACCACTGGAATGTCATGATTATTTAATGAATTGAATACATAACTTATGTACTGACCCTGTAGAAGAAGTTTTAAGTAAAGGGCATGTGTATTAATTAGAAAAAAATATAATTTAGCAAGGCCATCAGGAATATAGGCTTTGCTAAGTTATCAGAACCTCACCTGAAAAGCAACAGCATAAATAATAAAAAGCCTAGCGCAATGCTAGCTCATTGGTTTGAAAAAGTCAGATAGACAGCACTAATCATACACTGTGGCAAAGCTTTCAGAAACTATTGCACTTATAGCAACACAATGTTTAGATGATGTCCATTCCTTTTAAAATTTCTGAATTAGTAGTGTTCAGGTAACAATGACATTATTTCTCAAACTTCTTCCTTCAGTGCAGGGGAGACCCACAGGACACAGCATGTCCATGTACAGACAATACAAACGCCACCACCTTACCTGCAGACTGAGCACTGTAAAGGGAAGGATCGACCAAAGGAATATTCTGAGGAGCGGGCTGAATGGTGTTACTTGTCATTCCTGCAAATCAATGCAAAAAATCGGACTTGGGTTATTTTTATTTATAGACTTTAAAAGTAAGGCAGACAAAATAAGAAAATAGAACAGGTAAACCTAATGACTCCATGTTTTTTAAATTAAGCAGCTGATAGCTTCCCAATTCTGAAAGTTTGTAACAAATAACTTTAAAACCCTCACTTCAGACTATGAATGTTTTATAAAATAATACAGAAGAATTTACAGGCTGTCATTCATTTTATCAGCACAGTACTTCACAGAAATTTAATTTTAAGCATTAAAAAAATTAAGAAAATACTAGTCCAAAAGACACTGGTTACCCTAGAGTAGTGAGAAAAACCTGCTAAAGAAGAGTAGGAATAAACTTTTATGTTTGAAGTTTAAGTTCTGCATTTTAATATCAGGAGGAGTCTCCATCATTGCATTTTTAAAGTCCCATGCCTGCCATCTCACACTTGCAAACTCTTTCCTTCCCAATTCCTTCAAAAACAATTGGTGAGAATAAAAAAAGCTAGCTAGAGTTAAATGGGAAATGGTGATGCTAGAAGAAACAGCACTTCATGCTGTGAAGCATTCTTGTATCTGCATTCACATTTTAGACACTCTCATTTGCATTGATCCAAAACTATATTTTTGCAGTTACGTCCAGAACATACCAGATTAATATAAAGTTATTTCTACAACATCTGCTATGTAGGAAGATGGTATAATCACTTTTCTAAATTATCTGTTATTTCATGGAGTGACTGACAGGGTTAAAACTATGTAATGCAAAGAACTCATGTATTCCAACAAGGTACATAATCCATGATTTTCAGATCTGGTAAAAACAAAAAGCTTAACATTTACCTAGGCTGAATGTGAAAAAGAACATTCTCCCCCTCCCAGGCCCAAAAAGGTCCCACCTATCTGAAGGATTTCCCTTTGATAAAGCTCAAAAAAAGAGCATCCTGAACTTTTCATAGGGTGAAGCATTTTTAAAACAAGAAAGTAAAAGAAAAGGAGGGGCTGTGTGACAAAAACATCTCATACGTTCTATAATATAAAAATGTATCTGAGCAATCAAATGACCATCAGGACTGAAATCAAGAGCTTTTAGTTTTTCAGTCCTATTAAACATCGTCATAAAAAGGTCACATGAGGTGAAAAAGTTGCATTCACAAATCATTTAAATTTTTTTTTTTTTAGAAATACAGCAACTGGGAAGAACTTTGGATTTTTAAGAACTTGGTTTTAGTCCAAAAATGACACAGAATAAGAAGGAGCATGTATGAGCCAGTATGTTTAGCAACAGGGACAAAATTTCCATTAGTGATATAGTTTGAGGTCAATCCCACAAAAGCACTTGCATGGGAAAAGGAGCATAAACCAAACAGAAGAAAAGTATGAATGGTATATCAGGCATGATTGTTATAGTGTTGTTGTAACAGTTTCAACATCATGTCAGATATGTTCCCACACAAAGAAGAGCAGTCTGTCTGCACAGGGAAAGCTAAATATGAAATGAAGTTAATATAATTTCATCTATCAAGTGAAAGATTCAAATAGTGCTTTACAGTACAGATGTTGCAATGCATGATTCTAGGGAAGAGAAAAATGTTCTGTCTGCAAGAACACTCACTCTTTCAGTCCACATATCTCTTCTGGCAAAGTGCTCCAAAATATGAATGACATATTTTAAAAACGATAAAAACATAAAAAGTATTTCTGATGGCATTTTTAGGATGTTAATTTATGGAGTTCCTTCTGCCACAGAATACTTGTATTATTTTACTTCATATGTAATGAAGAGGGCTAGAATTTGCCTCTCAATAAAGGCATGAATTTTTTGGGTGTGACTCAGACATACCTGTGTTATGAGGTACTTCAGCTGGAGTGTTGGCTGGTGCATGGGCACCTGGTGGTATGTGTATGCCAGTGTAATTACTAGTTGGTATGTTGTTAGCTTCATACGTAGATGATGATGTTGGCTGACTTGTTCCACTATGGAGAGAAGATGACCCTGCTTCTTCCCTTTCAACATCTGGTAAGATGACACAAAACAGGAATTACTGCAACTCTTCTGTACAAACACTTGAAAACGTAGGCTTTCTTTCAAAACCTCCTTTCAGATTTTGGTTAATAGAAAAACTGCCACCACAGTGTGACATAAAGCATTTATCAACCCAAACTGCCTGCAGCTGATTTGACAAAGTAAAAAAGCAACATACCACAGGATAAAGATCTAGAAACTCGCATACTTTCAAAGATGTCTTCCGTTGAAATTGAAGGACCATCTCATTACTGGTCTGAATATAAGCGATCTGTCTCACTAGTATAATCCCTTATGCCTCAATGTATTGCATCCATGGTAGTTGAACAAGATACCACAAATATGAAGTAATCTATATTTTAATATATACATGAACCAGAACATGGAAAACTGCATTTGCCTTATGAACTCTTTGTAAAAAGAAAGACAGTGCCAATCCTTCCACTCCATATCAGTTAAACAAACCACAAATAAATAACAAAAAAGGGGAACCCTGGGAAAGTAATACCAAACAAGAAAACAAAATGCAGCTTAGCCAACTCATAACTATATCTAGAACAGCTGGAGTATGTAATGCACTATAAGAATAATGAGGTTCAATATATACCATAGCATGTACAAAGAATATTATTTTTCAATCTAGTCATGTTCTTCAGGTTCTGGTCTAGTTTATCCAGTGCTGCTTTGAAGGCTAATAGTCGAATTTTATTATGCTAATGACCTGATTAATTTAGAATACGGTTGATTGCTGCTCCTTAATTTGAATTCAGTTCAATTTAAAAAAGTTGATTTTCTTTTACTGTGTATGTGTTCATCTGTATCAATAATGTCAGGCGGAATGAGCAGAGTTTTGGGAATGGGTTTGTTAACAGCCAGTTCTTGAAAGGGAGCAAAATGAATATGGGAACACAAAGCTCGTATGTTGTCTACAGCTGGCAAAAGAGATGTTCTTTCTGAAATCCACACTGATCTACAACTGTACAAGATTATGTGTTACGCAAACACCTCTACTGCTTAATAATTAAACAGTCTACTATTACAAATATTACTATTACAAATACCAGAATGTTTTCCCATGTAAGGCCCTCTTCCACCCAGAAAAAGGACAGGTACTACCTTCACTAAAAATGACTAAATGCCTTCTAATTTGCAACAGTATTTACTACAATAAAAGGCTATAATGCAGAGTAAATCAACAGTATTGTCATTAGGACATTTTTACTGGACTTTAATACACAGTTAAAGAACATATTTTTGCTTTATATTGCAAAGTTGTAGTAGTTTACTTTCATTCAGAACATCCAAGTACTAATAAACAAATTTACAAATCCCCCAAATCCGCAGCCTAATACCAAGAATCTTTATTTAAAAGTATTAAAAAGCAAAGAAACCTAGAAGCAAAGCTCTGTCAAGCGCGTCAAGCACTGCTAGCAAAATTTAATATAAAAACACGGAACATGGTAAAATTTGTGTATGTTACTCTTGTGAAAATTACTTTCACTTGCTGCAACCAGTAATTCAGGATGTGGTTTTATAAAGGTATTTCTGACATATGCAAACAAACACCTGGCAGATTTCTGGAAGGCAAAGGATATCTTAAGGTGCCAGATTTTTCCTTTGCTGTATTTTTTGCTAGTAACTCATATTGCAGTATCGTGTGGCTACCATGCACAGACATAAAATTAAATGTGTTAAAACTGGCAAAACGAAGGTAAGATTCAAAACCAAACACCCGATATGCTACCTTTTAAATAATAATGTAATGACAGGAATAAGCCATTGGTCGAATGCTATATTCTTCAGTGTTTTTGGTGTTAACTAAAAAAATTATTTTAAAATAGTTTCAGAAAATAAAATCTAGTTTAACAAAAACCCAGAGACTTACTATACATAAGATTAATGAAATAGTTACACACAACACTCATCATGCTGTTTGAAGGCAAGGCTGCCCAAGTGTACTTGTAACACTTATCAATTATTTATAGTTTGGTCAAATTGCAACCATAAAGTTGTATTTTCCATGCTGGGTGCCTGCCTGAAGCTAGTATTTTGGGAAAGCTGTTGCAAAAATTATTAAGCCACTTTTGAGAATGAGGGAGTGGGAGGAAATATGCTTTCACTGTACTTAGCATCTCAACTAAGAGAAATTACCTGCAAGTTCTTGCCCAGACTTAAGTCATTAATGTATTTATTCCTTTATTCTGCCTCCCTCAGCTTTCTGTTGTCCTCCTCTGGCTCTTCAGTTCCATTCTGATTTCTCTCTCTCTCTCTGCACCAGGACTTCGCACCCCACACCTGCAAGCCCCTTCCCCATACTCGTGTCTGTCTTGCACTACCTCCCAATCTTTTCTCCAAGACATTCCCAGTTTCAGCTTCAAACTTCCTCACTGCATAGTTTATGGTCCCTAGTCACTCCTGTAAAAGTGCAGTGCCGTAGGCAACACTGGCCATGGAAGATATGAAATCAAATGGTTATAGTCTGGTAATGTTATAAACAAAAAAATCAATCAAAAAAAAAGTGTTCGAAGTGCTGATCGCTCTTAATAACAGTGCCTGTAAGAGGAAAATTCACAAAAGGGCGATACACTTTTTAATCAGGTATATGTATCACAGATCAAGCTCAACTGTTTGATTTGTTCATTATGCAATTTGCAAATATTTAACTGCATTAAACATGAAAGTAGCTTTGTTTAAATTAACTTTTCTTAGGTGTTTAAAGTGCCCAAATGTCATCAAAGCATTGTAACTATTCTTTCTGCAAAGTAAATATTTAAAATATTCCTTATCAAAGATTAAAGTATTAGAACCATTCTGAGATATGCGCTTGCGGTATTTGTGAAGAGTTTTAACAGTAGTGCTAAACAAAATGATTTCAGGCTGCTGGAAAAGAACGTTTAAGCCAAACTGTTTTTAAGTTCTGTGGTTGGAATATCCATAACATTATTGAAAAACAAATCTTTTCCAGGAAATGGGAATAAATGCTAGAAAAATTAGAGAAATAATTTCTCATAAAGCAGTAATAACCTAGAATTTAAAGTTCCTTGTGACTGGCTTAAGGATGCTGAAATACTAAGCTGTGAAACAGTGACATAATTGTTTCACATTCAGTTTCAGCTCCAGCTGAGTTTCTTGTCTTGGAACCTCAACAGCCTTTGTGCTTGGATCCCAGCATAATGAATCCATGTGCTCTTCAGATTTTCCTCAGAGCTCCAGTATACCCAGACTATCTGTTTGTTTGGGTTTTTAAATGTTTATTTATTTATTGAAGGCAAGACTTTGTGGAACAAGGCTGATATCCCTGGCCCCATAAACAACTGTTCAAAGATCCTTTCATATAAATAGAGGATTCTCAAGGCTTAATGGCATTCCCTCGTCTACTGCAAGGAAGCACCGATTATGAATTAACTTCAGCAGCCCAGAGCACTAAATTTAAAACCAGCAAATTTTTTTTTTAAGGAGTCCAGACTACTCCAATTCTTTGAACTCCTATTTTTAAGGAGTCTTGCGAATCAAAAAGGTAATCTATTAATTTTAATTTCAAAACATTTTCTTTTTCTCATTCTGCTGCACTGTTTCTCTTTAGCTTGAGATGTTGCTAAAAGATGCACAATGTAAGGTTCACTGCTTTTTAAAAATCCATACATATATCTATATTTTTTTTCCACAACTTTGAGAAATGGACTCAAAAATCCATACACTTTTCATACAATGTTCTTTCTACTAGTTGGGACAATAAATGTTTCCTGGAATTCTGTACTATAAATTTAGAATACATACTATATATTGCAATGAAAGCGGTGGCATTTAATGTGTTTTACTATGGCTATATCACGACCATTCAGGAATTTTTTCGTATTTGAAATTAAAAATGTAATTTTGTAGTATAAAATCTTGCTGGATGACCTAGGGCTACTGGTAAATGACCTTTATGTGTACTCTAGGACTTGTATTCCAACAGCACTAATAAATCAAGCATGTCATTTTAAGGTTTCCATGGTGGCACCCTGACAAAAGCATCCATAAATCCAACAGCAGAACTGCATAAAGCATGCCTATGTTACTGTAAAAACATCTCCAAGAGTTACAGTATGGTTTTCAAGAATTACAAAGAAAATAACACTTTGGAAAAAAATGGTAATTTGTCAAGCTACAGAGACCTAGTTTCACTCTGTTTAAACAGACTTTTTCCACTTGCAAGGGGAGGAAGAAAATGAGCAAGCAGAAAGGAATGGGAAGGTCCAGTCGTACATTCAAACAATGCTGCTTTTCTTCTTATCATGCACAAAGCAAGAATTGACACTTTTTTTTACTGATTCTTCTAATAAAAATTAATTTGCATAAATTTTTTGTCTTGGTTGTGAAAAGCATTGTGGACACCTACACTATGGAGTTAATTTCCAAAAATAAATGTCAAAAAGTATTTTTCATTTCATTGCTTAGAAAATAAAAGAGTGGAATAAATTCTCTTACTACTTGAAATACAATTCAACAAATAAAAACATATTGCCAAATTATAGATATTGCAGGCTCTCTACCAATAAGGATGTTAAAATTTTGGTTCACTCCACATTTGCATCCCTTTTAAGTTGCATGTAGACATAACTTGGTAATGAAAGCAACAGTCTTCACCAACTCACACTGCAGCTTGTAATGACCTGCCATGAATAGTAAGGATTTGAGTAAAGTCTGAACTCTCCTTTCCCCCCTAAAACAGTTTCTTTTGCAGCCTTGAGCAAGTCAGCTACCTCTGCCTCCACATTAATAAAATGAAATAAGAGCTTATTTGTTGCTGCTGAGGAACAATTACTATTTCTGCACAAGCTGCATACACAGATTTTTAGCAAGAGTTCTGTAATCTTTGCTTAGAAATTCTATTTTTGCAATTGTTTAGAATTTATAATTCACTTCACATAATCAGGTGAGCTTTGTAAACATTACCACACTATGAGACAGACCACTAAAAAGCAGTCATTTAAAGCTAAAGACATGTAATTGGGCTATTCATTACATTCACTATAACAAAAGATTTTTTCCCACTTGTTGGTTTCTCCGTTAAATTATCAAACTGGTGTAATTTGACTTATAAAGATGTGGTGATATTTGCAGTTGGAGTTGCATCATAAGTCTCTCCTGCTACAGCTGCACCAGCAGTTAAGAAAACTCCCTTGAAAAAGACTGTACGTTGAAGAAGAAATTAGTTTGCTAATGCTTCATTCAAACATAGTTGTGCCTAGATTGGAACATATTTCAGTGGGTGAGATGGCTATTCCAGTGTTTAAGTCTGTATGGCATCTTTAGGTAAGGAAAACATAGTAACAAGAATAAACCAGTAGCTTGGAAACCAAATTGTATCATAATCATTATTTGTTCACAAATATTTTAATTTACTTATGTTGTAGTGTTTCTAGAGTATTAACACACAGAGTATTTTATCCAGGAAACTGCAAAGAAATTATAATTGGCACCTGGGGTTTTAGACACTTTTGTTTACTTTTAACAAAGCAAAGGTTAACAATAAACAGGGATAGATGTTTGGTACACATTCTTATTAAAAAAATGGTGACTATGTTTTTTATAATTTTAAATATTTTTTTTAATGTAACAGTCGCCAGGACATATAAAGAGATTACACTGTGGAGAGCCACTTTTCAGACTTTTTTGGCTCAATTTGAACTTGAGAAACACTCTTATATGGCCCTCTCCCCCTTCCAGCCATTGATTCTCTTTTCCATATACAACTGAGTGATTTTTTTCAAGAATCATAAAAAGGCTGAAGGATCCCCTGTAGGTTTATCTGGACCAATTCCTTATTCATAGCAGTGCTAACAGAGACCATGCTGCTCTGGGCACAGAATGGCTGAGGTTGGAAGGGACCATCTAGTCCCATCCTCTATCTAGCAGGGTCAGCTAAAGCCAGTTGCCCAGGACCGTGTCCAGCTGGGTTTTGAATATTTCCAAGGATGGAGCTTCCATAACCCCTCTTCTACTCTCTTTTCAATATCTCACCACATTCATGAGGAAAATTATTTTCCTAACAGTCAATTCACATTTTCCTTGTTGCAACCTGTGTCCGTTGCCTGTTGCCCTGTCACTATGCACAGAGTCTGGCTTAGATATTCTCTGCACTCTCCCATTAGGTATAGTTTAAGACAGGAATAAGAACGCTCCTTAGACCCACTTAACTTTCATCTTGTATGCCATGTTCTCCAGTTCACATTTGGAAGACAACAGAAAACTCTCATACTTCAAGCAATATGCTACTTTCTAACAAAGGTGGGCTTGGAAGGAGTGAGTAAGACTGCCTGTCTTCTACTTCCTTACACTTTGCTCACTGTCTGATACAGGTGGTAAGCTAGACAGTTTTTATTCATGCTACTTTGTCACTTTTTATCTTCTGCTGCACATTTGTCTTCTGGTAAAGAAGCAGCTAGTGGCTGCCAAGTGGAATAGGATGCTATACCTTACTGGAAGGACCACCAGTTTAATCTTCCTAGAAATAAGAGGTCATGCCCATCCTCCTCTTTGTTCACAGATAAACAGGAAAGAAGCTTCAAAATACGAGACTGCATGATGAAAAGATTGAGAACCTGAAGAGAAACCAGTTTTCTAATGTTTTGACATGTTTAAAATAAAACCAATGTGCAGAAAATTACAAGCCTATTCATAACATATTTGAAATTACAGGTTCAGACTTCAAAATCCACTGAAGACCCAGGTACAGACCACAAACATGAATGAATGGAAAGAAACAAATAAGTATCTGTGTGCGCAAGCATGTATAAATCTACGGATCATATGCATTAATATATATGTTCATAAAACTTTATGCAGCCACCTGTACCAAGGTGGCTCTACAAGTTAGATACAAGCCACACTCTATAATTTAGATTTCTCTCTTTTGCCTTGTAGATTTGTTTCTTGATCCTTTTTATTAGAAAAATTTTTATTACTAAATTCAAGCTTAAGTTAAGAGATAAATGAGCATCAACTTAAGTGACACTTATTCATGCCACAAAGTCTTGCATACTAGCTTGGAGGAAAATTTCAAATCATTTAATGTTCTTAGTTGTTTCATTAGGTATGTGAAGGATTATACATAGATGCTAGTGTCATTGTGCAGAATTAGTCTGTTTTAATTCGCATAATGAAAATATCCATTCCAAAGACACTCTATTTCCCTAAGACATTCACATTTAAAATTTGTATTTCAAGCTTCTGCGCTGACAGGGGAGGAAAATGAAGAGACCTCTTATTAATGAACCTGATTCCTACCAAAAACAACTGGTGAAATGAAAAACCAATTAAACAAACTGCAAACAATGGAAAAGTAAATGGGTGAGAAGATTTTGAAACTTAATTTAACAATTACATACCATTTCTATTTTGATATATTTCAGAGATTAATCATTTTTGCATATATTTTGCTTTTATCAATAACTGAAAAGTATGATCAGTTTATACGCAGATCAGTAACACTATTATCTGTTTTAGCAGTTTAACAAAAAAAGTTTTGTACATGATTACATTTGACCCCCAAAAACTTGCACATATCTGTGAAGTCTCTGGATCTGTACTTTAGAAATAGGGTAACATTTATAAAGTTTAGAAATAATATGGCAGCTCTAGTTTGATTGTTTAGTTATTTTTAGTAAAAATACACAGAATGAAATAAGAGAATGGAGCTGTCTTTCTCAGAATAGGTTAAGATGTAATCTATGTGAGTCTGCTTAGTACATGTTCTGCTATTTCATGGAGAGGCTAGCTTGCGTCTGCTTACAGTGGTGATGTCTTTTTAAAAAGCTCTAAATGAGAAAGGTTTGGATATCCCTAATGTTTCTTACTGAAGAGCTAGGACTTTTAAATTAGCAGCAGAGTTTAGACTGGCCTGAGTGCATTAAATAGAAGACAGTAAATGTAACAATTTGGGAGGTTTAAAACAACCCATTCTGATAAAGATTCTTTTTGGTATGCCAGTGTCCTTGGAAATCACCACTTTTTATCTAACAGTTAAGGAAGTAACTTCAAGGAATTCTGTACAGGAAAGTCAGGTAGCCAGAAGAACACAGGGAGCAAAACACAAGCAAAACGGGGATGAGTGAGAAAGCGGCAGGAAATCCAATCTAAAAAGAGTCGAGCCATAAACTCATTTTGAAAGCCACACTATTTTACAGGGAAGAAGGAATTGTCTCACAATTAGGTGTTTGCTTCGAAGTTGAACTAATCTACCGTCAATCTGTTTTCGACTCCTATTTAACTTCTGAGAGAGGATAAACTGGCAAAGGGATTATAATTTTACAGAACAGATTTAAAAGAAGGACTGTGGGTAGCATTAAAGAAATGCATGGTTCTGGCCCAAAGGCGACAATGCGTTCTTAGAGAGTAGCTGTATTCAAAATAATAATCTCCACTACAGAGGAAAGAACAAACCCAAACGTACTGAATAATCAAATAGCAAGGTCCAATAAAAATAACAGTAGGAGAAGCAGAAAAGAAAAAGCAGAAGGTGGCCCATGGTGAATGGAACATTAAACCGGGAAGCCGTGCTTCCTGTGGGATGCTCCCTGAAGAACTGTGCCTACCACCGTTTCGGTCTTGGCTCAGCCCTTCGCTCTTGCAAAAAGAAAAGGGAAACACATACCGAAGCTCTCTCCTTCCATTCCAATGGGCCCAGGCTGCGGAGTCTCTCCGTTCTTCAAGCAGTTATGAATGTACGCTGCCTTCCACCTGGCATACTTCCGGTGCTGGGCATTCTGGGGAAGGGAAAAGGCCAGCCATTTTAACCACTCACTTCTGCAAATTAATGCATTCAAAACAGAAATGTAAGCAGGTTTTCCACCTTGAGAAGAGATTATAAAACTGAGCTGCTTTCTCTGCTATTATTTGACATTTCTTTAAATATAAAGAACACATGAGAAATTAATCAGTGAATTAAAAAAAAAATATAAAAAGAACAGCTCTAACAGGATCTCAGCATGAAAGGAAAATGTGGAGATCTTCAATTAGGGCAGCATGTCAGCAAAAGGAAATAAATTATAGCAGGACCATCTAGTGTGAAAGATGGAGCACTGTGTAGTAATTAATGATGTGAATTAATAAAGAAAACTTCCTAGCTCCATAAACTTAGATAATTATTTACTTTAGATTTAAATATCTGAAATTCAAAATGCTACTCCTGTTGATCAATAATATAAAATCTTTTCTAATTACATTATTTTAAATTTTTAAAATTTATTCAAAAGCATGAATACAGAAAGGCTGCTGTAGTTGCAGATTAATGTGTGTGTGGGGGGATATTCTAAGACATACAATACTTTGCTTTAGTATCTTCACAACACAGCGAAAAATCAGATTAAGGACTTCAGTAATACATAAACTACCAGCAGAGCAAGTGGTTATTATCATAACTTTAAATAAACTGTTATTGACTAGTTTAATAGTTCCATTATTAGAAAAAACAATAATACTTCTCAAAAAAGTTAATTACTATATTGACAGTCAATATAATCTTTTGCCAACTCTCATCTTCTGAAACGGTGCCAATATGAAGCAATAGCAGTGAGAAGCAAATCTGCTGCATGCCTTTCTGATTCCATTTCCATGGTAATGGTTTGAAATTGAAAAAAATGTGGTAGTAATGTCAGTATTTAAAGAAAATCAACTTGATTTTTCACTATTTTCAGTTTCTGGGAAAAAGAAATCAAGGAAACACATTTCACCTGGGTTTTCATAAATTCTTCTTTTCACAAAACATGAGTAATTGAAGTAAGAACAGTAAAGAGATTCTGACATTTAGGTAAAACTTTAATCTGTCAAAACATAAAATGAAGATTGGCCACTTTCTATCTCCTGGGACTGTTACTATAGTGTTTTTCTAATCCAGGAAGAGTTCTCAATTGTTACAAGAAAACTTAAACTGATTAAGCAAGTCAACTACTTTGTCAAAAGTTGTAAGAGAAATAACCAGTTCTGACAGTTATGAGGTAATGTATTTCAAGGAACAAGGTTGAATATCAAAAGAGATGAGAAATGAGGAAGCATGAGTGGAATAATTTGGCCAAGTGAACAATGCAGGTTGATCGCGTGTTTCACATCAGCGTCATCACCTGCAAGGTACTAGTGAACTTAAATTTCCATAGTAACAATCACAGGTAAAGTGGTTTGGAAACTGAGGTAGATAGAATAATCTCTCTTTAAAAGTCCTGACCGAAATTACATCCAAAGTTTTTGAGAATTAATAACATAATTTCAAAATTTTACTTCACAAACTCTATTGCACTGTCACCTAGAACAGGGTAGAGAGTAACAGTATAATGAGTATCTTCAGCAAACTCCCTTGCTCATACTTAACACATTGTTATTCACCGGGATGCTCACACAGCCCAGGAGAAAGATATGGTGTTCATTTTTGCAAATGAAATGTTCTCCATGAAAAAGCCTATCCTGATGACAGATTTATTAAAATGCATTCACTACACCTCTATCAAAACCATCCCTTTACCTTCCTTCCAATATTTACAAACGAAAGTAGCCATGGCAACTGCATTTTAAACTGAGCAAACATGCCTGCATGTTCGGCACACTTATCAGATTGGGGATTTACATACGGGATGTCAAGTCTGTGAATTCCAACCAGGGCATGGAATACTTTGGGATCAACACAACCACAGGTTTGTCATGGGTCTGCAAAGCAGCAGAACTTTTGTGTTCTAAGGCACTTGTACTTGCATGTGAGAAAAAAAAAATATTTGTAGATTACCTGTGTGGATTTAGATGTCCCAAGACATATTCAGCACTTAATTGATCAGCACTTGCTGATTTTGTTTAGCATCGTTGTTGTTTCTTATTAATTTTTCCAGGTATTTCAATATCCCTTTAACAAGATTTGAAACCTGTCTTCATGAGTCAGTAGCAGCTTTCTCTGATTCTTTTTCCTTGCCAGAAGTTATCAACTATACCATTACATTTTCAAATTGACCTTCTCATTCAGTTAATTTAGCAAGGAAATCTCACTTTTAGTTTTCAGAACAAGCAATACTTTATTAAGAGCACTTGCCCTTCTATATCGGAAATAACTTCTTCAGTGGGGCACGAATAACAGAAAGCAGCTGACCATGCACCTAATAGAAAAGTCTGTTTCAAAAGAGACCCAAAGATTATTCTGGTGCACCTTACTAAAAGTAATCATGATCTTGTCCAGCCAATTCTGGAATACTTGTTTGATTAAAAGATTACCTGCCATAAAGAGCACTGCGTTAGTTACTTTACTAGATAATTTTTGAATTAAAACATTCATATACTAATGGTCAGATAGCAAGCCATTTTTTAAGAAGTAAATTCACACTCTTCCAACTTACCACCTTTTAAAAGTGGGGTTTGTTGCAAAACCAAAAATATCTATTCTAACTAAAACAATTCCACCTCAATTACAATCACTAAAGCTCTTGCTTGCAGGGTGAAAAAAGTGAAGGTGGAAAAAGCCAGGAACCTTGCATCATTTTTCCCTATAATCAATCCCACTTGCTCAATGTAATGGTATGTCTCACAGTAAAAATCAGACTTTGAATTTCTCACTGACAATTAAGTCATGAAGCATCTTCCAACAGGTAACAGTTGTCGAATACTTCATATATAATTTATTTGAAATACTTAGCACAATTCCTTATCAGTTACTAACATGTATTTGACTACACACAATTAGAATCTATGTATTTTGAAGCTTATATTCACAAATTATAAAACCAACTTTACAGAACTAAAATAGTAATTTGCACCTGTGCTAAGAAAAGCAATCAGCATCAAAAGCAGCATGGCCAGCAGGTCGAGGGAGGGAATTCTGCCTCTCTACCCCGATCTGGTGAGACCCCCCCTGCAGTACTGCCTTCAGCTCCGGGGTCCTCAGCACAAGGAGGACATGGAGCACAGAGCACGTCCAGAGGAGGCCACGAAGATGATCTGAGGGCTGGAGCACCTCTCCTGTGAGGACAGGCTGAGAGAGTTGGCATTGTTCAGCCTGGAGAAGAGAAGGCTCCGCAGGGACCTTACTGACGCCTTTTAATACTTAAAGAGGACTTAAAAGAAAGAAGGCGAGAGACTTTTACCCGAGCATGTAGTGATTGGACAAGGGGCAATGGCTTTAAACTGGAAGAGGGAAGACTTAGATGAGATATAAGGAAGAAATTCTTCATGATGAGGGTGGTGAGGCAGTGGCACAGGTTGCCCAGAGAAGCTGTGGTTGCCCCATCCCTGGAAGTGTTGACGGTCAGGTTGGATGAGACTTCGAGTAAGCTGGTCTGGTGGAAGGTGTCCCTGTCCATGGCAGGGGGGTTGGAACTGGATGGCCTTTAAGGTCCCTTCCAACCAAACCATTCTACAATAATACACTGATATCCCTAACACTTACCTCTTCAGAGAGCTCCCCAAATACTGTTAGAACGTCTATCAGGAGACTTGCAGTATAAAAGGACTTTATCATGTTTCTGTAAAAGATAAAACATTTCACTAGCTAATGTAATGTCAGTCTCTCAGGATCACATTTTAGAAGTTGGCACTTTAGACAATCCTGGCTTATTTCAAGCCAATCATCACTAATTTTTTTCTTTTAATCTGATGTTACAGAACTTACTTCATAATGTTTAAATTAAGCAATATATTGACTACTATGCAGAAAGTCTTCAGTACTTTTTAAAGCTGGTCATGTGTTCTGCACTTAGTTTCTAGTTTGGAATGTTCAATATAGGACATAGGACACCCTATATTAGCTTAGAAAAAGCCATCAACATGCTGTATAATTGCTGTAAATCAAACCACATAATGTATCCTCACGATTATTTTAATATCACTGGACAGTAGAAACTATAACATGCTTGATGTCAAGCTCAATATTAGCCTTCGGTTTTAGAAGGCTTGCCAGTAGGTGAGCAACCTCTTAAAGAACACAAGAAGGAGGATAACAGTTAATGTGTGAAGTTAGAGACATACAAATAGTAACAAATCAAGTTTTCTGAAAGAGAAATGAATGCATTAAAGCCCAATTCCTGTTTCCAGTCAAATTAAAGAGAGTTTGTATATTCAAATTTCCTGACCAGTATCTTAATTCAGATAACAAAACCAAAGATTTTTCACCTACTTATGAAATTGCCCAGCTCTGTCTTCATTGTCTGCATACAAAAACATTTTCAAAGCGTAATTCTCCACATGAGCAGAACCAACAATTTCCTGAGTAATTGCTTCATTATCACCAAATTGCTTTTTCATCTGCAAAAAGTCGGAAAAAATACATTCATTACCTTATTAGACCTTAGCAATTCTGCAATCTAATTCAAACACAAGAACAAGCTGCTGATCTAGGCAAAGCCAAGTACAATTTTAAAAAAAACCCAAACATATACTTTAATTATTTTACAAACCTCCAGCTTCTAACATAACAAACGCTAAAAGCAGCATGCTAGAGAGAAAGCACATTCTTTTGAAGGGATAAATATTATAAATAAGTAGCTCTGAATACCATCTTCAATCACAAAATACTTAAAAACAAAGCAAAACAACCCATTAAAAATAAACACAACTACAATATTGTGAAGGAGTAGCTACAGATATTTTTCCCCTTACAATCCGAAAGACCAAGCACTCTGAAGCCTGTTTCAGGATTCAACACAATTCAGTTGATAAAGTAATGCCTGCTTTATAAAGCTACTGGAGGTCAGAGTGATCATGTATCTTCTCTCTTGTAAGGTTATTTCACTACTGTTCATTACATCTTTCAAAGCACCTGAGCCCTACCTTGACCAGCCTAGTGACCTAGGGATTTACTGGAATTTTCATGGTAAGCAGTGTGCTGCAATTCAAAGACCTCTTTTCAAAGACATTAGAGTACAAGAATCCTCAGGTTTCCTAATGAAAAAAAAAAATCAGTAAAGCAAATAACCCTCTAACAGTTACAACAGGTGGATTTACAGCTTCTGAATAGGCTTACTATTCACACATCAGGAAATCTCAGGTTATCCTTAGAGAACAAAAACAGGAACACAGCATGATACTAACCTGTGGCCTTTATTTTGCCACAAGATTTAAAAACAATGTCTGAATGGCAGTTATTTTTCTGGAGTTATTTTTCACACTGTGCCTGTGAAGAAAATTAAATCATGCAAGCTGCATTTCCATATTTTTTAGATTGCTGCCAACTTTTTAATACATAGAATGTTGCCAGAAAAGTTACTTGATTTCAACAGTGAAATATAAACTTTCCAAATAGAACTTCAAATTTGAAGACTTTTGTCAAACTCATACTCTAAATAATTTTGAAAACTATTTTTTTTGCAAAGTGTAATTGTTTTTCTTGTTAGTGTACCACAGTTTGGAAGTTGCAAGATACATAACTGAAATGAAATACTAAAGCTAACTGAGGAAGAGAATGATTTGGTTATATATATATATATATATATTTCACCAGCCTATATACACACCTTACACTCAGAAAATAACTTATTACTACACTTGATCTGATGTTCAAGGGAGATGACTTCAAATGCAGTTACATACACTTCTAAAAATATTGAAATTAACCAAGTTGTTTACTTTTGAAATTACCCTTCACACAGTCTGTGATTCAGTACAGCAGTACTGATGTTTTAAATGATGATTCATAATTTAAACCTAAAATCAAGCAAATTTGGTTTAATTTTACTAAAAATATTTAAATGAAACAGTTACCTATTGGAAAAGCAAAACAAGACAATCATATGTAAAAATATTTCTGACAGAAACATGCATTTTGGATACAAAAATCATTGTATTTAATTAATTCACATATTTGGAATATCATGATGTTTCTTGCAAACAACACATCTGGTAATTTCCAGATGGATCTACACTGTTTTATTCTTTGCTACTATAAAGTTCAGGATTGCCTGTAAGCTTCTGTCTTAACCTCTAAAATAATCAATTGTGGCAACACGGAGAAAGCTGTGAGAAACATTTAGCGCAGACCTGAAGCACCCCTTTGTGTCCCCTGCCGGTTAAGGGCAGACAGAAAATAGCTGCTATTAAATTACTGCAGAGGTCCAACTTGTCAATATATCCAAGCTTCCTAGCCCCAAAAATGCTGTATCAAATCTGCTTAGAAGTGGTGTCTCCATCCCTCCACCACTTGGCTATGTAGAAGTAACTGCAACACCTGAGCATCAGTTGTCACACAGACAATCTGACCAGCAACTGAAAGATGAAATCATGGAGTTTTGCTGCTTTTCTAGTCTTTCCAAATTTGAAACAAAAGGGGTAACTGAACACTGCAGACACATTAGTTGCTGCAGTACCACAAGGGATCCAACAGATTTTAACAATCCTTAGGAAGAGTAAAGTCTTTCAGAGTTTTAATCTCACCTCTCCTCCCTTTTGAACATGAAAACCAAACCCATTAAAGATGTCAAAATTTGACGAAATAACCCACCAAGAAGTCACTGTACACTGATCTTCCATTGCTAAAAATCAGAGATAAAACACAGCAAGAAGCACAAGGTATGGAAAAAAAGACAAATGGTTCATGTTTAAATTTTTTTTCCTGAAGAATTGAAGGCTGTTGCACTAGTTTCACACAAACTCTTCAGGCATTGCTATGGCTAGATTTTGGATGGATTCATTAATATTCAACACAACAAGAATCACTGCTTTATTCTTCAATGGCCTTTTCCGCTTCCAAATGAGCACTTAAACCTTAAAATCCACACACTACTTCCCTCGAGACTACTGAAACTACAGCATATGAACATAAACAGCTCCTGGAACTTAAATGGACCATGTATACAATGACTTTACCTTTCTTTGTTTAACTCTGTTCTATTTAAGGTTGTTTGCTTTTTAATACTATCAGGTGCACTCAAAAGAACACAGCATAGCTATCTCTTACCCACACAGGTAAGACCGAGCTTACAAAAATTCGTAGTATCAGATCCCCAATCTCTAACAGAGGGTACGATCAAAAGTATCTTTATCTTCTAGAGAATGTTTTTAAAAAAACTCCCTGGGTACAACAGTTTAGGTCAAAAATTTCAAAAGTACCCAAGGACAAGGCTAGTCAGTCTTACAGCAGTGCAAATAACTCTCACAGACTTCAAGGAATCAAAGACAAATCAATACAAAAAGTCTTCTAGAACTCCTGTATTTATTTCAGAATGAATTACGATTTCTCATGAGACTATGTATGAAGTACTATAATTAATGCTGTCTAAACAAAATCTTATGGCAAATGTCTGCCATATAAAATTTCAGTTATGTTTGTGCATGTATACATACATATAAACATATATATACACATATAGCTTTATCTCCTTTTAATCCTTCTGCCAATTTATTACATACAACTTAAATTCATACAGTATGCCTGCATACAGAACAGTTGCATCAATGACTGCTGACAGAGAAAAGAGAGTACTTGCAGAAGCTTAAATAAAAATTAAAGTAACATCATGAATCATTTGAGAGAACAATAAAAATTCTACTTACAGCTTCCAACTGATCCATAAGTTTGGATAAAAATTTACGGCATTCTGGGGTTTTACTATCAATCTTCATCCCTGTCTGCATTGCATATAAACGACCTTTAAAGGAGACAAAATACACAAAAAAAGGCAAGTGATTATCTAAGGCAAAACCCATAAGCAAACAAAGCAATGCCACCCCCAACACATCAGAAAGACAAACTCATCTTATAGTTTAACAATGTGCTACTGCAGTACTAGCGAGCAATGACAGCAAAATCTAGATATGTTGTCTTGCAGAGATACTAGGAGATATTTTTCTAAGATTTATACTTTATTTTTCCTCAATGAGCATTCCTGTTGATTTTAGATTGATGCCTGTATCATTATTATGCAATATTAAGTGCTTTTGTAAATAATCACCACCCTCATTTGCAACTCTCTGAAATAGAAACTTCAAGTTGACTTTTACCCCTAATTATACATGAATAATTTTCCTATGACTTACATACATCCATACACTCTATACATATATCTCAAAAATGGAACTTCAAGTAGCAGGAATCAGTTAGCTTTAAAACTCCACTTTAACAAATGGAATGAAGCACCTATTATCTCCATGTATATGCATACATAGCATCAAAAGATACAAGACACAAACCTGATCTTTAAATCAGACAAGACAGACTTTATCAAACTGTCTCACCAAGTAAAGCTGCCAGTTTTTCATATGATCTTGAAAATGAATGATTAACATCTTCTGACTAAAAATGATCTTTTTACTACAAAAAACTCAATTTTAGATATGCACACAGCAGAACTTTATATGCTTCAGGTAATTGTGGGTAAAAATCAAACAACTATTATTTACTAGGATTAACACACACAGAGAAGGGAAAATGGACAGAAACATTCAGTAAGCAAACGCAGAACATTTTTCACAAAAAAGCCATTCCACTAACTCTCACTCCTAACCCTCTAGAGAGTCCTACAAAACACTTTCAAATGCAGAGCTGAAGAGCTGAAAGCTGTAACTCTACCAAGTATTGTCAGGAGCTAGTTATTAGGGCATACCCCAACGTCCTTCTTCCTGCAGGACACAGAGTTCTCCAAGTGATCCTGACTTGCCTCACAGGTTTACCATCTCTCTCTTTCCAAGCATCTCTTCATCCACTACAGATAGCCTTTTCCCTTCAAATTATCTCAGTAAAACATGAATATAACACAGTTGGTTTCAAACTGCACTTATCCTGATGTTTGCTGCAGAAGAAAGCATTATATGCTCAAAAGCTTGCCTGCCTTTTCCATCTATTATCACTTTAATAAAATTGCATCTCCCTCTACAAAACTTACCTAGGTTCTGCTGGTGAGTATTATAATTTAACTCATTTTTCTGGATTTTAAAAGTAGTATTTCACGTTTCATATATAATTGATTATTCAAACCAGACAAAGCGTACATTCCTTATTTGGAACTGCAAAGCTGACAGACTTTTGAGTTGGGTTGCCCAACCATTTAAAGATCCCCCCCCAAATAATAAATAAAGTACTTGTGCCCTCCAATGTCTCTCTACTTCTAGATTTACAATTTATAAAACAACCTAGCACCTTCATGTTCAAGTTTTCAGTAAAGAACAATCAAGTAAAAGTCTACTCTGAACGGAACTTCAGGAATGAAGAAAGGCTACGAACAACTACCAACGACTGACCATGACAAACGAAAGAAAGCAATTTTAACAAGACTTGCTATGTAGGTTCTATGCTATGTAGTTTCATCAAGTGACAACGCTAATGTTAAGCTAAACTGATATGTACTCGTGAGCTCACCTTATTTAGCTTCAGAATGCTGACATGTTAATATTAAAAATTATGAAACCGGCACATGTAAAGTTGAAATTACTTTTCAAAGAAATCCAAACACAGAAAGATACAGAGATTTGTATCTAAGGCACTCAAATTCATTTAATTCTACTGCCAATTAAAATACCATCATCACACAATGAGGAGTTAATGCTTAGAGTCTTTAATGAAACTGATTTTTAAGTACATACTTGATTGTAAGCTTTCCTGAACACATTTCATGGTATAATTTAATAATGTAAAACTTAGGAATTAATGTAATGGATGCTAGACCTATGGGCCATCTAGATCGGTTACATCTTTTTAACAGATGCAAATATAAGATATTTTCAGAGGAAAGTAAATTAATTTTAGATTGATATGAGTTGGGGCAACATAAATTCAGAATATCTTGGTCATTACTGGATATAGATTTATCTTACTTACTGAAGTATGCATCTTCATATCTCTTCCATAATCAATTTACATAAAAAGAACTCTGTTTATGGAAATATTGCAAATGTCTTTAGTCTTGAGGATGAGTTTAATGATTAAATGATCTGCTTATTTGTAACTGTTACTCTTCTGTTACCCGTATGTGGCTTTTTTTCACATTCATTGCAAATATGTCCATTTAACAAGGGGTGCACGTACAGGACTCTGACATCTGTATGCTTTGTAAGCAGTCCTAAAAACCCAGCTCTTTCGCCTCTTAGGATTTTTAAAGACTGAGATAAACTCAAAGACTCCTTCAGGGACTCCAATGAACAAACGCAGAACAGTGAGTCTTGAACACACAGACAACACAAGAACAATAGTTACAGGCAAGAAACGTGTTTTTCTTGTCTATGTATAAATTTACACTGTGAGTGACATCAAGCAATGTTCCATACCAACACCACTTTCCTGCTAACGAAAGACTCCGGGACCAAGGTGCCCAAGAGCCCTCAGGTCATTCAAGATCAAAGGACTATTCTCCAAAGCGTACGCAGACTGCCAAGAAAACAGGAAGGCGCTCTAGCAGCAGCCACTCTACAGATACTAAGCACAGAGACGTCCTACAGACAATTAATGTCACCTGAGCTAAGGTTAAACGTGTTCCACCTGTCACAGCAATTACATCTCTGTACCACACAACTGACTCTACGAGACAGTTACCACATCTAGCCATCAAACCCCCATCCACATCAAGATCTATATAAATTGGAAAGGAGATTTCCTGCAAGATCTTATTAACTGGTAAAAAGTCAAAGTACACTTAAGTTACCCTAACAAGAGAGGCTACTGCAGTCTTTAAGAACTTTCAAAGTTCAGAATTTGTGCATACTCGCTTCTTCACATACAGTAATACATTCGAAAGGAGTACTGTGTAACAAAACCTGCCCAGACAGGCCTCTGATGAGGCAATCATTGAGGTAAGGGCAAAAGTTATTCCTTCTTTCTCAAGTGGTGATCAAGGAGAACGATGTTTATGAGAACTACTATGGACAGAGCATAGTACTACTAGTAGCATTCAGTACTGAAAGGGAGTCTTGACTCAAACACTGTTGATAAAACAACTTGACTGTAATGAAGAATGAGGCAACGTGCAGGTCAGAAAACGCAAACCATACCCTACCAGTCAAAATCTCCTGGAACATCATTTTCAATAGATGAACTGAAGATACAGAAGGAAAGTATACTCGCCACAGTTTGAACCTCACTAGTGACAAACAAAATGTTGTTAAGTACATTTAGGCACACTTACTGCTTTATTCAGTGCTGCTCTAGTCAAAAGTGAGGCTTGGGGGCTGAAAACCTCTATCAACAATCATTAAACTTATCAGACAGCAAGTGGAACAGTTGAAAAACTGAAAGAACTAGGGACTTCTCTGACAGAAACAGAACAGGAAGAGGAGGAAATAATTTGGTATTTGCCTCTACAGATGCTACTGAAATAAAAATATTCTTTCAATGGTTTGAAATTTTGCTTTTGAAATTATCTGTATGAAAAGCAACATGTGATTGAATCTGAAAGCAGTAAGTAATCCCTTGCCTTATTACAGACAACAGGAAAAAGTGTCTTCTAGTTCTACTCTTTGCATTTTTGTGTATTATTATTACATCTTATTTTTAAGACAAAGAATCTTAATTTATTTCCAAACACAAGTTTTTCCCATGTCTGCATCTTTTGTGATCCTTTTCTCTGCTCTCTCTAATTTTGAAAGGTCCCAAGTATTCTACATGAAGGCTACCTGTAAGACAATATTGGTTTGTGTTGGTTTTGGTACTACTACCTTTGCCAATTAAGGCATCAGAAGTCTCTTACATATCTTTTACTTTCGTGTGTAGTTTATCACACAAATACTACCTATGGTAACAATACATGACAGTAACTGAAAGATACACTTTGATCTAGTGAAGGAAACCTATTATGTCCTTTTCCTGTCTAACTTGCAGCAAATGGGCAAACTCACTTCATTACTGAATTTTCAGTGGCAGTGAGCAAAACATCATTTTCCTGTGTTAATATCATCAGTGAAATTTTAAACTGGCAATTAACGGTCAAAGAACTGTCCTACACGTTCATGTCGACAGGTAATCTCAGTAGCAAAGAACTCATAAGCAAGAGGCCAAAAGTTTACCGCCTCCAACATCTCTGCTGAGAAAGCCAAATGTAACATGAGTTCAGTTCCCATCCACCGCCCATCTGAAAGAAAACAGAGTAATTATTTACATTCTTTTAAATACAGCTGTTCTGGTTCTATAATATTGCAAAAGTAGTGGAATGTATTATTACTGTGCTTGCTAAGTCACAAATTTTTTGCTTTAATGCAAGTAGTTCAATTTCTAATAACTATAAATTAATCTCCTGAATGCTATGGACATTACAGAAAGAAATCGTCTGAGTGTTCTGTATTACAATTGCATTATTCCACCTTTTAAAAATACTGCACTGGAGATGCCATTTTACATCAAAATTATTTCAGAGTTTTCTCTCCAGAACTTCTCTCTATACATTGGAAACTGTTTGAAGTGCATGCCCCTAACTACCACAGCAATATATTGTAAAACTTAACAACTAGACCTACAGGAGCCATTTGCTTGGTAACATTTGATAAAAAATCTCCTCTGTGAAAAGCCAAGCTGTTGCAAATTCTGATATAAAAAGACAACTAAAACCATACATTGTAGCTGCAAAAGTTTTCAAGTTTTTAAAGTCTAAATGAAGTATTTGAAGAATGTAGACAACCTTGGAAATAAGTGACCTGTAATCTCATCTCTTTTCACTATTTGTGATGAAGATCTGGAATACCTGGAAACAAATAAATGAATGCAATTATTGGTTCTTTTTCAGCTTGCTTTATGCACTTGCCTTCATAACACATACAACCTATACTTTTTGCCCCCTTTATCCAAACCAAGTATCAAAAAAAAGATTTTTGCATGGCCACCAGTAATATATGCATAAAGTAAAGCACTAAGGAGGTAGAAGAGGCTACATAGAGCTAATGTCTAAATATTAATTAATATTCTAAGTAAAGCTAAAGTCACTTGTAATCTTTTTGCACAAAGACAGAACCGTTTTGCCAATTATTAACTAAAAGAGGGTTTGCTCTTAGTTTGCAGACAGGATATTTATCTTCAAATTCATAAAGACTTGGCAAGTAATCATTCTCAGAAAAATGTTTTGCCAAGACAACTATAAAATTTATGTCTTGATTTGTTGCCCTTAATCTTTGTTCAGCAAATACTAAGTGTGGGTGTGCTGGATGGAATCATACAGGGAGCTTTACAGAAACTTCTCTGCTTTTATTTATGTCACGTAATACCACGTTGTTTTTCCTTTGCTAATACACAGCACAATTTCAGAGCGAGTATTTTGTCTCTAGTACGTGCCAGGCATTCATTCCTAATACACAGTAAGTTATGCCAGATTTATGTTTGGATAACAACTGAAACTCCCCTCACTCTCATTTTAAACCAACTCCGTGCCAAGTAAAAATACTGGAGAACAAAAGTTCCAGCCAGCAAGCATGCACAATAGGTTGATTCTATCTTCTCAATTCTGTCCTACTATCCATCTTTCTTTTTCCTGGTCTAACAGGATCAAAAGACTACAGTTCTTTTTCCCCACGCATATTTAACTCTCTAATATAGAAAAAAAAAAAATTAGGAACTGGAATATTTTCGATATTTCATACCAACAAATTGACATTAAATACTAACAAAAAACATTGCCATAAACTTTAGCCATGTTTTGATTCTGACTAAGAGATGAAAGCTTTTTCAGGCCATAATTTATTACTCATTCATATTCTACACCTTCCTCTTCCCTTTGTCAAACCACTGACAGAAAAATGTTTGTTAACTGCTTGGTACAGCTGGAATACAAATGTGGGAAGCAAGGGACATAAAGACATTAAATTGGATTATACTCCAACTACTGCAAAGTAATTGTCATAAAGAATGCATCTGCAAAGAAAAATAAAAAGTAATTATTCTTGCTTTCATGAACATTAAAGTATCACACTTCATTCATGCAATTTCTGCATGCAGATGACAAACATATGGTATTTCTACATGGCTAAGTCCAAGTTGTCTGAATTCAAAGACTTTTAAAAATAGAATTTATAGCATTGACAAACAAACTTTCAAGGGCCTTATACCTCCTCTTCATTATATGATCCGAAGTAAACTGGCAAAAGACAAGGTAAGTATTAGGCTGGCAGCATCAATTCAAACTCAAACATTCCAGAGAAAACAAATTACTTTTAAATATGTATTTTCAAGTAAAATTATTTTAAGGAGAAATACAAGAAAAAATAAAATCTAAGGCAAAAGTGGGGGGAAGGAAGACTACACACAAATTTAATTAAGAAACTCCAAACAAAAAGGACAGCATCATGATCCCCCTCGGATACTTTAGAGTATTCTAAATCCTACAGAGGAAAATGGATTGATAACAGTATATTTCAAGGTTACGTTACACGCTAGACAAATTTTGTCAAGTCAAAACTATCTCAAGTAAAATGTCTCTTATCTAAAATTACTGAAAGTTACAGTAAATTACATTAGAATTCACTGTTATTGGAAGAACAGCAACTTGTAAACAAACTAAACAGGTGAAACAAAATTTGCAATTACAAACCAGAGTGGTCATTATTAAGATCAGATGATAAAAGAAAGAATCTAATAATATCTATTATGAATCCTACAAAATGACACCATATTCTATGCTGCCATTCTTCAGTGTGGTTTAAAGACCAATTTCGGTCTTGTAAAACTTAAGAGACCTGTGTGTGGAATTCATAGGTTTCTAAGCTTTTGCACAATATTTAAACTATTAGTATTTTTCAAAGCTTGTCTCTGTAGTCTAAAAAAGAAAATGAAATATTTCTAATTCAAACAGAAAAACTACCTTAACTGTAGGATTTACAGTAATTAAGATCTCAAGATGGCAAAAGCAGGAGAAGGCAGCTACTCTGGATTAGTTACGGTCAATTCACGTGGATAAAGCATCTTGTAGTGATTAGAGCACAAATCTGAAGCACTCCTGTGGAACACCCTCCAGTTTAGTTTAAACTGGAAGAAACCTATTTCATGCTCTCAGACTGCTCTGTGAGGTGAACCAAAGCACCCTAGATGGGCATGACCATAAGTCTCCAAAGTGCACTCCTGACCTTATATACTAACAGCATCCAGGGCTGCATTAGGAGAAGCACTGCCAGCACCTTGAGGGAGGTGATCTTTCCCTTCTACTCAGCACTGGTGTGACACACCTGGAGTACTGGGTCCAGTGCCAGGCTCCCAGTGCGAGACATGGGAAGGGCCACAAAGCTGATGAAGAGTTAGGAGCATCTGTCATACCAGGAGAAGCAGAGAGCTGGGACTCTTTAGTCTTGAAAAGAGAAGGCTCAGAGGGTCTTATCAATGTAAATAAATACCTGAGGTGCGGAGAGGGGCAGCAGGGCATGAAGACAAAGCCAGACTTTTCTCAGTGGTACCCAGTGCCAGGACAAGAGGCAATGGGCACAAAATGAAATACAGGAAACCCCATTTAAACATAAGAAAAACCTTCTACTGTGAGGGTAATCACACACTGGAACTGGTTGCTCCCAGCAGCTGTGGACTCTCCATCCTTGGGGATATTCAAAACCTGCCTGGACACAGTCCTGGCCAAGCTGCATTAGGGATTATGCTTTGAGCAAGGGACTGGGCTAGGTGATGTACAAAGTTCCCTTCAGCCTCACTGACCCTGTGATTCTGCAAATTAGAATGCTGATATTGATGCGTCCCTTCTTCAGAAGCAGCAGCAAACCTCACGCAGGAAAAGACAGTTCTTAATTTTACTTCCAGAGGTTCAAGTTAAATAACAAATAAAGATCCACCAAAAAGATGAATTATACAGTGGAAAAATGCACACTAGTATATTTACACCGTACAACTGAACTTTAGGACATTTATACAAATACATATACCTCAGAAATAAAGCTTCAGTCTCTGCAGTACACTTGTTCTATTTTATGTTCTTATTCTGTCTGAGCAGATTATTTTTAAATATTACCTATGTAATCAAAGCAAATGCCAAAAATACTACACAACAGTTAACATAATCTTTAATTTTTGCTTCTACCCACAGTTTGCTTTGAGGACTGTGGGGTTTACATATTTATCTTTGTTATTTCAATCACTTCTCGCTGTTTTTCTGCCTTCACAGACAAACCAGAGTTTTAAGAGCAGTTTTCCCACTTACAAATCTTTGAAACAAATCAGAGCAAACAAGCTAAGACTGAAGACAGAAAAGAATAGAAAGCACAAGAGGAAAAAAAGAAATTAAGAAATATTTTTAGTTTATACTAAAGCAAAACAAGTCTCACAGTACACTATGAAATAGATAACTACTTCTTAAATATCTGACCATTTCGATTAGCTTATCCTGAGTGAAGAACAAACTAAATCTATTCTTCAGTATGTAATCTCTAACACTGGGTTTTAAATCATCTGTAGTATTAGTAGCACACAAAACAGTTTTCTGCCACCAGCGATAACAGAATATGGAAAATGTACTTCTAGAAATGGATAAAACTAGTAAAAAAAAAAATGAATATTTAAACTGGAAAGCTCAGGAATTTGATCTTATTAGATCAGGAATGTTGTAAGAACATTATTTTATGCATTTCAATTCTACAATGTCCCGATTAAACGAAGTTAGCAAGCATGTGGAGAACCTCTGCAGTGAAATACAGCAAATACTAGTTACTTTTATTTCCATTAATACTTCTGAATTACATCCATCTTCTAAATTAGTGATTCAAGATGCATCAAGATACAATAAAAAGTTGAATAAATTAAAAGCTCAATTAAAATGTTTGTCCACTATTAGTTCTCTGCTTTGAGGAAGGATCAGTAAAAAATTAACTGTATCTCAGTTGTAAAATTACACAGTAACTATATTTCCCAAGTTCTGACTCAGGCCATGAACTTTATTTTTTCTTTTTTTTTTTTTTAATTTAAAAAAAAAAGTCTTATAATTGGTATGCAGCAAAAAGCTTGTTTCACGGATGTCTGACTAAACTTGAAAGGAAAAAGCCAGTCACATTTAAAAGATGGGTTATTTCTGTTAAAAGCTGAATGACTTTTGATTCAAGAGGTTGTCAGCTAGTTGTGGGAAAAAAAAATCGTCTCTTTCACTTTTCTCTCCTGCTCGATCCCATAAAAAACAGAAACGTCAACACAACAGTGAGATCCTTTGGAAGGATTTCTCTGGTGCTTCTCTACCTCAAGAACTTGAGAATCGTAGAAGATTTTCTTCATACCTTTTTTAAACAGATCAAGCCTACTGATCTCACATGAATGTTTTCTGATGTTTAGCAGACTGTAAAGCAAAAACCATCACAGCCCTGCTTTTCGGGAGTTACTAGAATCATAATTTTTCATGTTGCATTCACTGGATATCCAAACACTGTTGTCTGTTAGGATGTTATAGATCATGAAACACCAATGCTTTTCTGACAACTCACTGGCATTCTCTCAATACTTTTGAATTAGAACACCAATGGCAAGTACAGAAGTATAAAATAAACTACCAATATATCTTTGAAACAAGCTTAACAACACTAGTGAAAGGCTGAAACAACTGCTATTAAGGAAAATTTTGCTTTAAACACTGAAATGGAAGTTTC